ATTATTAGTACGATCGTCTGGAAATCTCGATAGTGATGGAGATGTGTGCGAGGGGGATGAAGATACAACGAAGGAAAGTCACGGAGTCAGGAAGGTGTGTATAATGTAGAATGATTTACAGCAATAGACGAGTGATCCAAGTAGGGATTCAGAAAGGTTATGGTTTACAGTTACGTAATACTCGATCACCCTGTCCAGATTAAGCCTTGTTCAAAGTCGCCTTTGCGAAACCGAATGCGGACGGCAAGGCAGTTGCGTTGCTCTAGATGAGCCGGCAACCGGTTACTTGGTTCGTTCGCTTGTGGAAAACTGTGTCAGGGACTAAATCTGGACCACTTATTCTGTGAGCCAAGTGCTATATTTTGCACTGTTACCTGCGAACGGCCCCTATCCGCGTCTCGGAGAAGCCCTCGGTAGTATACAGTTCTCTGAGGATTATTTGTTTTCTCAGAAGCACGGTAATCAAGACGGTTCAAACAGCGTAAGCTGAATCTGAGGCCAAATGGTTTAGAGGAATCGCACGCAGCCGATTGAGTAAATAAAAATTTTCCTAACTAAATTAACTTATCCAAACATCGTCTCAATAACGTGTTTTCTTTTGTGACAAAGGAGCTTGTTTAGGAAATAAACTCTCAATAATTTATTTACCTCTAGTTGCAATCTGAAAAAACGATTTGTTAATAAAACTGGTAGTTCAAGATTGATTCTTTCAGAAATGTTTTTTCAACACATTTAAATGTGATCTTCTTGCGCTACGTTTATTTCCTCAGTGCGATGATCGCTGGTGGAGGTGCTCCGGAAATCGAAATTGCCCAAAAACTGGCTCTGATTGCAAACAGCACGCCAGGATTGGATCAGTATTGCTTCCGAGCATTCGCCGATGCATTTGAAGTGATCCCCTACACGCTGGCAGAAAATGCAGGGTTAAACCCTATTCAAACAGTCACGGAGCTCCGTGCTTTACATGCCCGAGGTGAAACTCATGCCGGTATCAATGTTCGTGCTGTAAGTATTTTTTGGACAATCATATTCCTGTGTGATTTTAAACACCGAAATAATACAGTGTAGTCTTGTGCAGAAGAACCAGCAGATGGATCCAATTTACCTTATGATGTGCTGCAAACAGCAATCACAGTAGTATACTCGAATAGACGCTGCTAACCGTGACCTACATCTAATCACAAAATACAGATTTCATTAGAGGTGAATTGTATATTCTGAAGGTCTATCGTAAAAAATCGATAGTGTTGAACACTTCGAAGTTAGTTTTTTGTGCCCTGAATGCATAAATTATTATCATTATCATTATCGTACGACGAAATTTTGTGATCGCTTCCACATGCAATATGGTCAAGGTATTTGGCTTGTAGACCCTAAATGGAGGACAGCGAGAGGAAAATGAGTCTTGGTGGTTAACACAATACGAAAAGACACCACTGTTGTCATTTCACTGGTATTTCATTTGAACCTTTTGCCAGAATGACTCGCGAATTGTTTTAAAAACCGTTAAAAGTTTTCAATGAATAAGGGCATTTGGAGAAAAAACAATAAACATGCAGTTTCATGCGGCTTGATTTCTCTCTTGGCTGCCCATTTCGATGGTGACATAGAGAGACGATTTGAATGTTCGAATTAGTTTCACGGTGAAGATGAAGAATTAATGAAAAAAGGTTTCAAGGACATTAGATAAATGCACGAGTGCCACTGTTCACAACACAGATATATCAGTCACTGTCTGTAGCCGTCGATTAAAATGATCTCGATGTCCCCATCCAGGAAGCTCAACGCGACCTACGTGAACAAGTCTCTGGATCATAGTTTTCATCGTCTCATACCGGTTCAACTCCATGCCTGAACTGGTGGGGCCTTACGTGATTCGCCACTCCATGCCCCGGGGCTTAGGTTGCCGGTTTCCATCGCTGAACAGCAGGTCTTACTGACTGTGGGTTCCACCATTATGCTGTTCATCACACAAGTGTGTCATAAAAGGGTCCTAGTTCGATCACCATTTACTTTTCTTCTACCCATTACTTGCATCGACAAACTGCGCCCGCAGTAAAAATTTATTTAGTCATATTCACAGTATGTGCCCTAAGCAACTTTATTTATGGGGGGTTAAATGTGTTGGGTGTAAACTAGGTGCAAATCCACCAAGTTCGAACAATGCAAGAAAGAGATCACACCATAAGAGCGGTTTCCGTGTTTTCACTATACACTGATGAGCTACCTGTACCGTTGGCCGGTCCAGACGCATAAATATTGGTTGAACAGGGTAGTCTCAAACACACGAGCTAAAAATCACAGAGGCATTTATTAAAATGGAAGGGGTTAAGTAGCTACGGATAAACGAATAAATCTTGTTTTATAAGAACTTTAATAGTTGCAAAATTTCTTGGAAATTGTAGTTGCATTTGTTTGTAATTGTTTCCGTGGGAGTAAAGCCACGGAATCCATTTCCGATTGTTAAGACCAATTAGAAGGTTCTGCACGCAGATGCGAGCGTGGGTTAGTTGTTGCATGCTTTTATTTATCTTGTGAAACAAACCGATCTCTAATTTGGTCAAAGAGCTTGACAGTTATACAGTCAATTTTCTGCCATGTCGCACCCCTCGGGAATTCAAAAAAGTGGATAAATTCCAAGAACCGCGACAAAGCAGAGTAAACAGTAGTATACTACTGATAAGTAGTATAAAAATAAACCAAATCGACGAAAAGTTGGTTAATCTGGTTATTCGTTCCCAATATTTATAATTATAAACTGTTTATTTATAACGGAATTTAGATCTACCGTCATGCGTATACTTTATGTATCGAAGAAATTTAAATCTTTTATGATATCCTCAGCCTAATATCGGTACATTGCATGCGATATTCAGTCCTTTTCCAGTTCTGTCTAGTTATTCCGAAACTACCTATCTTCCTTCAGGGATCTTTTTCTGACTCAATTATCTATATTAATTCCAGATATTCCTCTATTCCGTTGCAGTGTTAGGCTAACCACAGAATTGACTGCATGACGTCCACCATAATATACAACTGTTTTAACTATATTAATCACAGTGTTAATCCATTCAAGGAAACCACAGGTGGACCAATTCAGTGAGAAGGAAATAACCTATATATCTGTTACGGTGTATACACAGAACATTGGCCTCTTTTCCACATTCAAACTGACTGTTCGTTGTGCAATCTATTCCTGATTTTCTAGTGAAAAACGTATACCATTAGCGTCTGTAGACGTCTATTCGTGCGTTCGCTTTTATTGCTAACAGCGAAATATCAGACCGATTGATGCATTCATTATGACCGTTGTTGGTTCAACGTTCAACGCGAGATGCCATAACGTGATTCATAAACAGTACCTTTTTCAATTTTAGATGTTCGAGTATTTATTTGAGATGTCCTTTTGCTATGTGGATAGTACAATAATCCGATTACTCCATTGTTTCACGTTGTCTTGTACTTTTTGTGATCTTGTTGTCATGTTGCAGTCCGTGCGATGAAGGCATGCCTCCTGCACAGCCCCACTGGATCTGCTAAAGACTCGCGGTTGTAGACAAGGTGTGGTTTCTTGCTCGGGTTAGCTAGACAAGCGCCAAGTCTCTTGTTGCGGCTGCGCTATCCGGCCGGTCGTGTGATTTTCGGGCCGGCATAGTAGACGGATAAATTCTGAATCGGATGCTGCGTAAGTGTTGGTAGAGATTCACCTCGGGAGAATCAGTTGTGGAACGAAGCGCCATTTGGGAGATTCGGAATGAAAAAGTTCAAGCGATGATGGCACTGGGTGAACGTTCGACTCGTCTAAGATGCGCTATTTTTAAACGAATTCTCGCGCAAATTTTCCGGCAGGTGTGAGACGGGAGTTTACTATGAGGAAACTCACTCCTGTTTAGCCAACCGAGGGCCATAGGCGCCAGCCCACAGGAATTACAGCAACTCTCAAGCGATTGACGATTCATAAACTGTCCTTAGATCCAGGTTACGATGACCTTTGGCAAGTGACCTGTCTAAGTTCATCGGTGCTCTAGGATAATTGAGATTGTCGTTCAGTCATTCACCGAGACTCGTCCGCTCGATGGTGTTTATCGATCACTGGGATCTGACATCTCATTCCACACACCCGCTTATCAGTCAATCGCGATTGTCGTTCACCCGTTTACACGTTAGTGCGACAGAACTGATAGACCGAATGACTGGGGTCTTCAGATTTATTGTTCTTTCTGAGAGCTTCCTGTAATACAAAGCTGTTTCATCTACAGTGAAATATCACAGTCAGCATATCCATGTAGCAACTGCGGTAACCCCGCCCGAAACTCGTCCACTGCATCACGTGGTACCGCTAAACATTCCGCACAGACCTATAAAGTAATGCACATGAGTTGCTGTTTTCTTACATTGAATACCATATCTATCTGACCAAGAGAGAAACCAACCATTGAAAACTTTGAAGTCACTACGTTGCAATCTTTGTGCTAGCTGGATTGCCATCTTACATACGANNNNCTTCTCGTTGGTTTTCAGGTGGCATCTTTCCTCAGATGCTCCAGTGTTCCAAAATTCCCCGGTAGTCGTTCGATGGGATACAACATTGTAGACAGTATCGTGAAATTCCAAGTGATTTGGCCACGGAACTCTGAGTTGCACCTGGCTGTATCAGCATCTCCAACATGCTCTGCTTCTCTCTGGTCAATAGGCGCTTGCTCATTTTGACGTCAAATGACAATCTCCGATCACTTACATCTATGTGACGTCCTAGCAACGATTATCCAATCAGGAAACAGTGCCATAAACGCATCACGCTTACGAGACCCATCGCATATCACTCAGCGCTCAACTAATAAGGTCAACCACTCAGAGGCT